TTCCATTTGTTTCCTATGTTGGGATTCCATCATGTTCCTCTGCTCCTCTATTTTAAAAATTTGTGTCCACTCTAGATTTATTAATCATGTCTTACACTATGGGTACAATCTCTGCTATTATCTGAGAAATTATTTCATATTTCTTTTTTTCCAGCTCCTCTTTTGTTGCCAGTTCAGGGAGTCTAGGTAGTTGAATATAAGATTGTTCCATCTCATTTCCCTTTGGGGTTGCCTTAGGTGATCTGGAAGTCTGGTTTTGACATGTTTATGTGTCTTCTCATTTCAAAAGATGCAGCCTGCTGTGCCTTTGTTGAGGGAAATTTTTGCTCACCCAGAGGTCTTCAGTTCTCAGCAAGGCACCAAGTGGCCTTTTCTTGTTGTTCAACAGTACACCAATTCCTGGGTTCTTAATGGTGGCCTTCTGGAATCTCTGAGCTGACCTGCTGACTGGGCAGGGTTCTGGCTGGGGCCTGTGCACACTCAGGATTGTATTTAGGTGTGCCTCTTGCTGAGGCCCCTATGTAGCTGTTGTCTGGGAGGGCCTTTGCCTGGGGGCTGTGTACCCCAGTTACTGTTGTCTGCACAGGCTTCTGGGTATGGTCTTCTTGCACTTATCTATGGTATTGGGGTGAGCCTCTGGCTGTTGCTTGTGAGCCTATGTAGCCCTTGGCTGTGACCTGTGTGCATAAGTCTTTGGAGTCAGGGCAGATATCAGGCTGGGACCTGCCTGTAGACATGCCCCTCTGATCCACACAGCTGCTCCCTGGGATCTTTACCCACTAACCAATGGTATGTTGGGCTTCTGGCTGAAGCTTGTACACCTGTTCACCTCTTTCCTGGGTGGGCCTTTGGCTTAGGCATGTGTGCCTGAGCCTCTGGGTTTGGGGTGGAGCACTGGCTAGGATCCACCTTCAGCCATGCAGCTCTGGTCCACATCGCTGCTCCCTGGGATCTGCATCCACTTATCAATGGTATGGTGGGCCTCTGGCTCCAAGTCACTTTTAACTGTAATATAAAAATTAAAAGATGAAAGTATGAGGACTATGACAAAAAAAGTGTTTGAGATACACAATGTAAAAAGAAGTAAAACTTGATATTAATAACATAAAGTGTTGGAGGGGGAGTAAAAGTTTTTACATGAAATTGAAGTGATCAGCTTGAAATAGCCTTTTGTAGTTAGCAAGGTAAGTCCTACAGGACTACTGTATAGTACAGTGCCTAGCATTAGAAATATAGTATTGGATTCTGAAAAATATTCTCAGAGAGTGGCCCTTATAATAATTATTCTTATCACAAAATAATGATGATGGTGATAATAAAATAAATAAAGAATGTGGGAGGAAATTTTTACTAGTGATGGACAGGCTATGGCACAGATTGTGGTGGTGGTTTTGTGGGTGTATATTTATCTCCAAACTCATCATGTTGCATACTTTAAATAGGCATAGATTTTTGTATGACAATCATATCTCAACAAACAGTGGTTTAAAAAACAAAATGTCAAAATGAATAAAACAAAAAAGATATTTTGCTTTCTGGGTGATGAGAGAGGAGCTCTGAGGTTGGAGGGATGTTGGCCTACTGATTTTGGAACTTGGGAGGAGGGCAGTTTTAGGAATGATAAAGTGGCCAGCTTGATATATGAAAGGCAATTCTAGAGCAGATGGCTTCAGCCAGGGTGATGAGGACATGGGCAGAAAAGTATGACTTTGTGTTGGTCTTCTTGCTTCTGCACTCAGGAATGTGAGACAGATGGTAATTAACCAGATTTGACAATGATGGCAAGAAATTGACATCTAGATAATTTATTTGCAAGGTTGATCCTAATATTTTCTCATTTCCAGCTCACTTTATCCATCCCTACCACGAAGACTTGAATCCCATCAAATTACTTGACTTTGACCAGGCATGATATCAAATCTATGTGATGTTCTGCAGTATGGAGATTCACACAGGCTGGGGGTAGGGGAGAAGCTACAACTACATGACACAACACAGAACAAGGGCAGCTCCCTGTCAGGTTACATCTGAGTTGGACAGTGGAAGACAGTGAATATGTCAAGACTTCCAGGAAAGAGAAGACAAAAAGAGGTTTATAGACCCATGTGTGATACTAAGACTCAATGAAGTTATACATATCTGCGTCTGTCTATCTGTCTATCTATCTTCAATCATAGGTCTATCTGATCATGTATCTGTCAGTCTATGTAGTGTGCTTAGCAGGCACCTAGTACAATGATCAACTCTGAAGGTGTTCAACAACGAAGAGACTGCCTCACTTGCCTCGAAAATGTTGAAAGTCATTTGATTTGACCTTTACCTGTACAGTTGGCATTGGGGAACCAGTGAGGGTAGATAACTTGTACCGGGTTGCACAAGTCAGAAAATCAAGGACAAGCATTTGAGCCATTCATCCTGGGCATCGGCCTGCACTATTGCTTTTTTGGTTGCAGGGATAAATTTAACACACAAGAAAGCATGGAAGCAATGTTGGCTCCTCCCCTTCTCTCACATCCCAAATTCCATCTGTCAAGAAATCCACTCGGCCCTCTCTTTAAGTTCCATCCACACTGGCTACTTCTCATACACTCCAGGGCTTTCTCCCTGGTGGGGCTCTACCCTTGTTCTACCCTTCACTTTGGCCTCACCCTCTTGAAGCAGAATCTGCACCATGGCTACTGGCTCTCTGTGATCTGTGGTGCTCCCTTGTCTCTGTATTTGTTTGAACCTTTGCTCTGAACTCTTCCTCCTTCTTGCGGTGTGAAATACACCAGTCTCCTCTTGTCTCTGGGAACACATCTGGGCCATTGCAGTGGCTCTTTCCTCGGCCCATGTGGATTGTTCTCTCACATCCCAACCTTTGCTGTACTTCACTCTTTCGCCCACCCAGCCAGGTTCCCCATATCCGGTTTCTTTCCTGTTTCCATGAAACTTATCCCCATCTAACATAGCATTTACTCACTTACTAAGTGTACCATTCATCTCTCCCACTAGAATGCAAACCACACAAGTAGGCATCCTTGTCTGTCTTATTACAGACATATCCCAAGCTCACAGGATGGTGCTTAGCATATAAATGGTGCTCAGTAAATACCAGTTCACTGAAAAAGGAAACCAAAAGAGGCCGGCATGATACCAGCCATGCAGAGCATGAGTGTCACGTGCTGGTTTCTGTGCTGCCCCCTTGGTTAGTGTGTCTGTTGTGGAAGAGCTGCTTGTCTTCAGACACACTCAAGCCCTTCCTCACTGCTTACCCAGAGGCAAAGCAGCCATGTGGCCAAAGAATAGATGGCCTGAGCGAGTTGTTTCTTTTTCTCTTCTTATGTATTTTGTTATTAGTACATGTTTGCAGTACATAATAATCACAGTTATCATGGGGAGTTGGTTCATGTACACAACACATCTTAATTCTTTTTTGCTCCCTTCTTCTCCCATCCCTTCATGCTCCCTCTAACTCTTTCCATTTGAAAAAGCTCTATTTCCATTTTTTCTTCAATTCTCTTTTTAAAATGTTTTTTTTCCATTCCTTCCCCCATCCACCTCTTGTTCTCCTACCCATTTGAGAAAGATTTCCCCATTTCATATATATATATATATATATACATACATATATATATATATATATCTTTCATTTTGATCTTTATTAATATTTTGGGTGTATCATATAAGAGAAACCATGTGATACTTAAACTTGTGCATCTGCTTTGTGTCACTCAAGGTACATCTATTTACCTACAAATTCCTCAAGTGTATCATTATGGCAGAGTAATACTCCATTGTGTATAAATACCTCATTTTCTTTATCTATTCATCTGTTGATAGACATAGAGGCCATTTCCAAGGTTTAGTTATTATCAATTGCACTGCTATAAGCATAGGTATACACATATCCTTGTAATATGATGATTTACACTCTTTTGGGAAGAATAATAGGAGAAGAGCTTGCTTGAAGAGCTGCTCTTTATAGAAGTCAATTTATAGGGCACCTCCCTGGCCTATCCCATTGACTTAGTCCACCCTTAGAGCTCTGTCCTACGGACTTGGGGACAAGACCCTCATCTTGATGATGCTCCCTGGGTCCAACCTTGGCCCCAAGCCCTCTGTGTTGGTCTTACAGTCTTCTCATACATGGTGATTCTGTTACCTGTGTCTCCTGTGTGTGTGTGTGTGCTTGTGCATGTGTGAGAGTGAGGACCCTTGCCCTCTCCTATTGTGTTTGACTATTTTCTTGTGTTCCCTGAAAGCCTGTTTCCTAGAGGGGGATTTCAAAGGTTGTTTTTGATTTCTATCTTTATGCACAGAAAGCTTTACCCCAGGGCTGGGGATCTGGGTGGTTTGAACTTTTGCTCCGAACTCAGGGTTGCACTGTGCTCTAGAAAAAGGCAGGCATTTCCTCCATTGTACCCCATTGCCACAGTGTTCTGTGGGCATGGCACAGAAGTGTCCTGTAAGTTGAGGAAGGAGGTGGGACAAGTAGCCCCTCCCCAAGATCCTTGTCTCTGCGAGAGATCTCATACATTGGTAATTTCTCCAGGGAAGAATGTGGGTGAAGGCAGTCCCAGAAAGGCTTTGAAGAGTTCCTTGACATATGCTGGCCTGGGAGCCTGGGACAATGGGACTTGAGTGGGACATAGGATGTCTAGGTCAGCCAATGTGGGATAATGATCCCTGGTCTATTCACAGTGTCAGAGGGAGAGTAGGGGCTTGACAGATATGTCTAGGCCTGTGAGGTTGAAAAATCAGGGGGCAGGTTTATTGTGATGTAGGGTCTCCTTGATATGCCTATTAAAAGAGGCAGGTTTCAGCTCTGTTCTCAGGCTGCCTAGTGGGAAGTTCCCATGCTCATAAATGACATTCATAACTTTCTCCTGCCTTTTATATGGTCAAAATTCCTATCCTCTGCTTGATAAAAGGCAGAAGCAATAACAAGTGTCAGGGAGAGACCTTGTTGTTCTTTAGTCCTCTTCACCTTCCCCGGATCTGTCCTGCACATCAGAGGCATGGCAAGCCACTCCTACCACATCAGCTCCAGTCATGGGGTCAGGAACTTCGGCTCCCGCTCTGCTGTTGTGCCCAAGCCCGGGACTCACAGCAGTGTCAGTGCCATGGCCTACCGCGTGGGCAGTTCTGGGGTGCTGGGCTACAGATACCTTGGGGGCTTTGGCAGCCGGAGCCTGTATGTGGTGGGGTCACCTCGGATGGCAGTGAGCTGCAGACGGCCCCTACACGGTGGCGACAGCTTTGGCTACCGGGCAGTTGGCCTGTGCGGGCCCAGTCCTCCCTGTATCTCCACTGTGAGAGTCAACGAGAGCCTCCTCACACCCCTCAACGTGGACATTGATCCCAATGTGCAGTGTGTGAAGCAGCAAGAGAAGGAGCAGATCAAGTGCCTCAATAACAAATTTGCTGCCTTCATCAACAAGGTGGGTGTCCTGGATCACACTGTTTCTGAACAAGGTCGGTCTGTGTGCTATTTCCTGGGAGTGTGGCTTAGGAAGGGGCAAGGGACTTGGAACCTGATGATGGGTAGGAGGGTGTGGGTGTGGGGCACAGCTGTCTCAAGGAGATGATGCTGCCATCCCCGGCAAGGAGGTAGGCACCAAGGGGGATAGGACCAAAAGGGATCAGAGGCTCCTTTCCTTTTCCTTCTTGGTGAGGACATTACAGCAAGGCTATGAATTCTCAGGGCTTCTGCTGAGGCACCTTCCACCCCTGAACACTCAGATTAAAGGCAATGAATTGAGAAATGTAGAGGCTGGCCCACGAGGAGCCTGCTGATTTGCACTTTTCAGTTGTGTAGATACTGCTGATTTCCTTTGACCTAATGATGCCCCTCTAAGTGCTCACAGTCTTCCGAGGAGATCTGCCTCTGAAGCCCAAGTGAGGAAAGGCTCATCTTTCAGGCCCTCTGGTGTGATGTCCAGGTCCAGGGACTTTGTAGGAAGGCATGGGCAGGGTGATGGTGAGGGGAGCTCTGCTCTCTGACCAACACCATTTTCAGCAGAGGTGCTACCCTTTGCTATCCTCAGTACGCTAAAGCCACTCTTCCCTTGCATTGGCACAGTGAGGCTGCCCGTGGGGCTAGGCAAGGTTGTCCATTGCATAGGATACACACCCAGAGTCAGGGAAGTTGAAACCCAGCCCATGACTGGCTTGTGGGCTGTGTGCTTTGGCAGGAGGCTGCGTCTGTGCAGTGAGGTCCTTGATATGAAGACACTAAGGGATCTTTGCACGTGGCCTTTTGGGCATCACCCAAGGCTGCTGCTGTTCTTTCTCTGTTGAGAGGAGTCAGTTCCCGGTCTGGGAAGAGTCACATTGCTGCACCAGGCTGACTTTGCCACCTCCATGTACACAGTTCTCCCTTTGGGCTCCAAACTGCATTGAGTTCCAAGCTGCAAACTTCACAGATATGGTGGATTAATCCCACAGGAAGCAAGCTCAGGGCTGCCCCAGGCCCGTGGCCTGTGTGTTAAATTCCAAGGCAGCTGCCTTTTGGATAACTAGGATTTTGTTATCTTTCCCACAGGCGTATTCAATTGAGAGTTCTCTGTATGAGGCTTGTATTCTCAGGAGGTTAGGCCTGAGGGTGAATCACCTAGGTTAGAGCTGGCACTGGAAAACAGTTTGGGGCCCGGCAGGTCATATGAGTGAAGCCACATGGAAAGGCAGACCTACCTACTCCTCGACATTAGCCTCAGGGTTTGCACTGTTAGCACTTCTGATTTGTCAAAAAGGTCAGAGATCCAGATTCTTGAGTTAAATCACTTAATCACTAAATGTTGGTAACTAATTAGGTTTCTACAAAACAGTGTGTAGGCCTTGGCTGCTGGCCTGATAGGTATGAGCAGCTGATAGTGATGAATTCCTATGGCCTTGATTTACAGTGAGAATGCTCAGAAGGAAGGAGGCTAAGTGGCCTGGGGGGTGGTAGAGTTAGGGAGCTGGGGTCTCCTAATTCCTGGCACAGGGAACCCCACCTGGGCTCCAGTATCCCAGGATCTGAGTGAGAGTCATAGTAGGTATATTTTTTAATTGCAATTCTTAATTGCTCTGCACACGTTAGCAACTTAAAGGAACACACATTTACCTTCTTGTGAGGCTGACAGCTATGTCGGGGCAGGGCTGCATGTCCTTTTGGAAGTGGCAGGGGAGAATCTGTTTCCAGAGGCATTCAAGCTTTTTATAGACTTGAGTTCTAAGAGGTGGTAGGGCTTGGGTCTCTGCTCCTTGATGGCTGGCTACCGTGGGTTGTTCCCAGCTGCTAACTTCCCAGTCCTTGGCAAGTGGCCCCTTCTTCCTCTTTCTTCAAAGCCAGTAATGGTGAATGGACTCCTTTTCATGTGTCAAATTTTATCCTGCCTCCAGATGAGCATCTCGCTCATTCTTGTGCCTTTCTCTTCCACCTTGAGGGTGGTCCTGTGGTACCTTTTGCCCTCTTGGATAATCCAGGAAAATCTCTCATGTTCAGGTCCATAACCTTAATTCCAGCAGGAAGACCCCTTTTCAAGGTGCCTGTGCAGTGTAACATAGTCACAAGTACCCCGCAAATAGGGCATGGGTATCAGTGAAGACTCATTGTTTGGCCTATCACATGTGGTCTGCAGGGTGACGTGGTATTTCATTCTGTGCGGCGAATGGATGGCTGTAAGTTGTGTGTTCTTTCTAGTGGTTGAGGATGGGTGGAGGCAAGTTACTTGGGGGACGATTATGATCAGCACTTTCAGATTTTGCCAATGGTTTGGCCTCTTTGGGAAGGTCACAGGTGGCTGCAGGACAGGGACCATCCCAAAGGCAGATAGAGGCTGGCAGTGGGGGAGGATTCCGTACCCTCCCTAGACTTCCCCCTGAGTCTCTTTCCTTCATCTTGACCGGCAGGTGCGCTTCCTGGAGCAGCAGAACAAGCTGTTGGAGACTAAGTGGCAATTCTACCAGAACCGCAAGTGCTGCCAGGGCAACCTGGAGGGGCTGTTCCAGGGCTACATCCAGACGCTGAGGCGGGAGAATGAATACGTGGAGGTTGATGTCCCGAGGCTGGCCTTGGAGCTCAACCACGTGCAGGAGCCACTGGAGGGCTTCAAGAAGAAGTGAGCCGGACAGGGGGCGGAGAGTTATTGGGAAGGGAGTGGGTTTTAGATGAGGAAGTACAACTGTCCTGGAGGCAGGACTGCATACGGTCAAGGTCACCCTCATACCTATCAGCTGGCTCTGCTTTATCAGCCTACTCTGTCTCGTCTCAGCTGCTGGCCTTCATAGCCCCTTCCTGAAGACCAGGGTAAGAACTGGAGAGAAGACTACCCATCTGGGAGGAAAGAAATACACTCTCCAGGACACAGACTGTCACAGAGATGGAGAGAGAACAAATGAAACAGGCAGACAAAGCTGGGAGGCCTGGAGAGCAGGCCCAAGATCAGCCAGCTGACCTGGGTAGACAGGTGGAGGCCCTAGAAGAGATTTTTTTTCATTGAGTTTATTGGTATTTTAGGTACACAGCACAGTTACATCATTGGGATCTTGTACCTTTACATGACAGGTCTTGGTTCTCATTTTTTCCCCATATCCCTGCCCTCCTTTCACCCCCTTCCCTATTTATAAAGACTTTATTTCCATTTTCCCTTTTTCTCATATTTCTTCTCTTCCCTTTTTCCCTTTCCCCTGCCCTTCTCACTTCCCCTATACCTTTAGCCCTTTTCTTCCTATTTCACATTGTCAGTTATACAATTTGAATTGGAAGAGATTTTTTGAAAGCAGTCTGGCAGATGCCATTCAAAGTACTCAAGGACCTTAGGTTGTTCCTTCTTTTACTCTGCATGTAAACCATCAAGCTTTTCTTATGAGAGGCTCCACAATTAAACACAATGTAAATCTTTTAGCTTGGTTGCTTATCCATGATGTAATCTAAACTCACTGGGTCATTATTAATTTGCTTCTTTATATCTTGCAACATACGGGCAGAATGAAAAGTGATTTTGACATTCATTGGTCCTGGTCATTCTAACCTTTGCCTACTTCAGAGTTCTGCTCTTGAAAGATCAGGTTTTGCCATCCAGGTGGACACAGCAGGGGTATTTTCTTCCCTTGGGGTGAAGCAATGCAGATACTCCTCAGAGGGCAGTTGTCCTGTCCACTTCCCACTCTTGGTATGTGAGAGGTGGCAATTACAGAACTGAGAGTTTATTACAGCTGGAATTTCCCTGTAATTAAAAAATTGTACACAGCACTCTATGGGAACTCTTCATTCCTCGCTGGCTGCTTCAGGGAGGAGGTCCCACTGGCTTGGGGAAGCGGGTGAGGCCAATGGAGGATCATGAGTGGCTTCCAGGAATTCAAGTCCTGGGATATAGGGCCAGGGGGAACAGACCTGATAGGGGGTGGCTTTAGAGAGCTTCATATTTTGCTCAGTTTTAGGGCTGAAAGGCTCTGGGTAATATATATCTGCCTTTCACTCACCCACAAATATTTAGCTTATGCATCACCACATAGCAGATGATTTAAGCCATGATGCATCATGGCTTTACAATGACTTCAGTCCAAGATGGGACCAGAGTCCAGTGGCCTTGTATTAGTTCTTTCTGGCTGGGAAACAGAAGTGCAGAGAGGTCAAAACTCTTCTCCAAAGGCATACAGAAAGATAGTGGAAAGCCAGACCTCCAGCTGGCCAGCCTTTCTCCTGTCCCCTCTGCTCAGGTATGAAGAGGAGCTGGCCCTCAGAGTCACAGCTGAGAATGAATTTGTGCTGCTGAAAAAGGTGAGTAACTCCTGACACACAGGGAAGAATGAGACCTTGAACACTGGCTACTCTGATACTGGTGTCTGGTCACTTTCCTGTAAGTCCAGTTGGTGGTGGCAAGGATTTAAACTCCTTGGTGATGACAAGATGCCATCTTGGCTACCATGCAACAACTCAGACTGTGTTGATGAGGGCTCTGGAAGGAAAAATACCTCCTGGTGCAATGGTGTTGGGCTTCTTCTAAGCAACCTGATTAGCTGAGATGTGCTCTATGAAATCTGTTCCGCTTTCATGTGGACACAGCTCCTCCCACCTCTCTAGATAGGGGTGGGGCTGGGAGCAGGGTGGTTTGGTGGTGGCTGGTCCTTCTTAGCTTGCTGAGATTTTTAAGTCTGTGTTGATTTAGTAGCAATGATTGTCATTCAGTGCCATTAGAGATGATGAAAACACCAGAGGGAAAAAAGCTGCTTGTGGAATTTCCCTTTATTTCAAATTGATGAGTGAAAGTATATACATGTGTTCTTTAGCAAATAGTGCATTTGTCAGCCTCTCTAGTTGTAAGTTATGGTGGAGTTGAAGGAGGGCTGGTGACAGATCTGCCAGTACAGGTGTCACCTGGGTCTCAGGCAGAAGAGTCAGTATGCTCTCGCTCTATGGCAGCTTGGCTGAGATGAAGCAGCCTAACATTCTGGGCTCTGATACAGGGCTTTCTGTTCAGCAAGGTCTTGAGAACTGGAGGGGATGAACTTCTCCCCACTTTCCTTCCCCTTGTGGTCAATTCTACTGCCTGATATTCATGGCACAGGGAGGACCTTCAGGAACAAATAGCAAAGAGGGCCCTGAGGGGATGATGAAGAGTCCAGGTCACACTTGTGAGTCCTGTGAGTGCACACAGAGGAGTGAGGTGGGCCAGAGGCTGACAGGCCGTAGGCAGGAGATGGCCTCAGGGCACGGGGAGTGTGTGTGCCCACCCCACCCTCTCTGGTCTGTCTGCCCTAGGACATAGACAGTTCTTATCTGCGCAAGTCAGACCTAGAAGCCAATGTGCAGCTGCTGACCAGGGAGATCACCTTCCGGCGGGCTCTCTATGAGGAGGTAAGAGGAGGAGGAAGAGGGCGAGGTGGGGAAGGGCTCTCTTGAGTTGTGGCCTGTCTTGCTTCCTGGGTTCGTGGCCTGTCCTGCCTGGTTGGGCATTGCTTACCCTCCTAGGTCCTGAACATCTTTCCTTGTACAACCAAAGGGGATTCTTGTTTGGATTCAGGCCTCCTTTTCAAATGGGAGTGGGTGAGGCCTGTCTTTTGAGATGATTAGAAAGACTGTGGTTCATCCTTTGTCCACCCTGCAGGACATGACGTGAAGATTTGATGACTCATTTATTAATTTGGGCAGTATAAATACTCAATTAGATAACCCAGGAGTTTAACTCTGGTTGTTCTCTGGTGGATTGTATTTGTACAGATGGCTACAGCTGATCTGGTAGTTCAGGCCCTGAGCTGGAGTAATCCAGGTGATCTGCATACACCTAAATCTATTTTTGCTGGTGCTGACCCAGGCACTAGTAGAATTATCGTTTATGCACTGCACACAGGCTCTTGGCCCAAATTCCAGCCTTTTCCTTTAAAAGCTATACTTTTACAGTTTACTGATTGCTGGTCACTTTCTAATTTCTTTTCGAAGGTTCCCGAATTGGAACTGAGCTGTTTTGAGGATTACCTAGGAGATGGGATGGGAGCGGGGTGCATTGCTGAGGGCTGTGTGTTGTCTCCTACAGGAGATCTGCATCCTTCAGTCTCAAATCTCTGAAACCTCAGTGATGGTGAAGATGGACAACAGCCAGGAGCTCAACATGGACATGGTTGTGGCCGAGATCAAGGCTCAGTATGACGATATCGCCAGCCGAAGCAGGGCTGAGGCTGAGGGCTGGTATCAGACCAAGGTAAACTGGCTGGGCTCCCTGCTGAACAGGCAGTTGGCTGTACTCCTGGTGCTCCCCCAGGAATGTGTGCTCATGCAACCCAGACTGGCTGTGACTGAGGTCCTGGGCAGAGGTCCTGGAGGTGGGACTGCGGCAGACTGGGCCGGCTGGTCGGTCTCTCCGTGGTGACATTGCACTATGTCCTTCAGCCACTATGTCTGTGTGTTATCTCTCAACCGGCAGTGCCAGGAGATGAAGGCTACAGTGATCCAGCAGGGCGAGAACCTCTGCAAAACCAAGGATGAGCTGAACAAGCTGAACCGCTTGATCCAGAGGCTCACAGCCAAGGTGGAGAATGCTAAGCAGCAGGTTAGGGGCACCAAGACTCTATCGGGGACCTGTGTTTCTCATCTGGTTCTGCTTTGCTCCTATCTTTAGGGGCTGCCGCTATCTTTAGAGTGGCTTTTATTTTCACTGTGCCAGAGAATTTGCCCTTTGTCTTCTTCCTGCACTTGCTAGTATCATATTTTCCAGTTCTTGTGAATCTGGTAGATGGAAAACTGGAATCTAATTGTTAACTTTTCATTCTTCTGTGTGACATGGAACTTCTCACACTCATATAAGTCATCTGTATTCTAAGAATTGCCTGTTCACATCAACTGCCCATTTTCTAGTGGGATTCCTATCATTTTGTTGTCGTTTTGGTAGTACTGGGGATTGAACCCTTTTGCACTGAGCTGTATCCCCAGATCTTTTTACATTTTTTAAAACTTTTGATACAGGGTTTCACTAAGTTGTCACATTATCCAGGGTGGGCTCCAACTGGCCATCTTCCTGCCTCCCAGAATGCTGAGATTACAGGCATGAGCCACCATGCCTGGCTTTATCTTTTTTGATGACTTGCAGCACTGCCTCATCCATTCTATCTGGATTATAGTCCGTGGTCAGTCATACTATTGCAATTAATTGACCTTCTCTCAATCTGTTGCTTCTTCCCTTTGAAGGTTTATGGTTATAAAGTCTTGAGATAATAGAGATATCCTCCCATACCTTTGTTCATGTACATACCTGACTCATTTTCCATCCTCTCCTTTCTGTGTGGCTGTTGGATACAAGAGATATCATAAGTAACTTGTCGCTGGTAATAGCTAAGTTAGAGAAATGTGGGAATGGGTGTGTTTGTTACTTTTCTCTCATTGCTGAGACAAAATACTTGACACCCCAAGTGAAAGGAGGAAAGGTTTATTTGGCTTACAGTTTGAAGAGGTTTCAGTCCACAATTGGCTGGCTCCAAGGCAGGGTGGCAGAGGGGCAACAGTTCATGGCAGACAGACTGCAGGAAAGTAGCAAGGTGCCTTAACAGTGTCTTTCTGCCTCCTCTATCTTATTCAGACTACTCAGGGCTAGTAGCATGCATGTCCTTAATCCTAGTGCCTTTGGGCCTAGCCCCACCGTGAATCAGTCACACACGGTGGATTCACCCACCTCCAAGGTGGTCGTGTGAGGATTTGGGGGGACATCTAGATGTACGCCTCAAACAAGGGGTTACTTTATGGAACTGCAACTAGAAAAGATTTGAAGTGCTGCCCATCCTAATCTGGCTCTTGCTCATTTGCATTCCAGAGTGCTAACAGGAGCAGCAGGATGCCAGTGCACTGGGAGTTTATCTCTCAGTCTGCTGAGCTCAGTGGGTCAAAGAATGAGACATGTGTGTGTGTGTGTGTGTGTGTGTGTGTATGTGTGTATGTGGGGCATGGGGTGGATGAAGCCCTGTATGGAGGTCTTAGAAAACTTGTAACTACTTAATTGGGCTGCCTAGGGCAAGTTGCATCTTCTCTGAGTTTCAATTTCTTCATCTGCTTGGTGGGAATAATAATTCCTGTTCTGACAAGCCTGTAGAGTAACTTTGAAGGTCAAATAAAATAATACCTGTGAAAGTGCCTTGTAAATGAGCTGGACATATGGCAATAGCACTAATTATTATTTGTGCTGCTCCTGTGTTAACATTTCCTCCCTCTAATGGCCCACTTGTAAAACTCAAGTGAATTTTACAGTAAAGTGTTACAAAAATGAAAGAAAAATAGCTCCAAATGAGCTATTACTTACCCATCTAGTTCATCTTCCACTGATAAATTTCCCTTAAAAAACATCAAGTTCAAAAACTGACCATTTTAAATAGAGGAAAAATTGATGATCAAGACAACTGGAGACCCACCAGCAACCCTCACAGGCCAAACCCTTTCCAAACTCCTTCCCTCCTCTTCTACCCCACAGCGCTGTAAGCTGGAGGCTTCTATAGTTGACGCAGAGCAGCAGGGTGAGAGGGCCCTCAACGACGCCCACTGCAAGCTGGCAGGGCTGGAGGAGGTCCTGCAGAAGGCCAAGCAGGACATGGCCTGCCTGCTCAAGGAATACCAGGAGGTCATGAACTCCAAGCTGGGCCTGGATGTGGAGATTGCCACCTATAACAAACTGCTGGAGGGCGAGGAGAGCCGGTGAGGACAGGGGCTCTTTACACCCCCACTCAGGGCTGGAGGAGCCCCATTGAACTATAATCCTCCAGACAGAGAATATTCAAACTGGGATCAGTTCAAACTGATCGTGGAATTCAACCATCCTCCCCCATTTCACAGATAAAGGAACTGAGTTTAGAGAGGGGAATGAGTTTGCATAATAAGATAGCCAATTGATAGCAAGCTAAAAAGGCATCAATGTGGTGCAAAAGCAGAGGAACTTGGCTCTGATGTCTCCCTCCCTCTCCCACTCTGCAGGTTGTGTGATGGCATGGGCTCTGTCAACATCAGTAAGTTGGGCATGTGTGGGCGTGGCTCTTGGGTATCAGTAGTGTGAACATCAAACTGGGGACCAAACCTCTGTCTATGGGCACTGGGTGAAGCAGACCAGAGCTGGAGCCTCTGAGAAATAAACAAATTAATGACCCAAGATATTTGGTCTCTAGGTAGACCTACTTGGAGTATCCTTGAACCCTGACAAATCCTTGAATGTGGCAAATTCTGGCACCCTAAATAGTTCTGCAAAATAGGCTAAACCTTTCTCTTACACACAGAATGCTACTCTTGTGGCCCCATGTTTTAATAAGTAATACTAGATTTATATTCTGATCACTTGGGGCCTCTGATCAGCTAGCAACTCCTAATGTTTGGAATTCTACTGTACACAAGTGTCTAGGGCAGATGTCTGCTTCTGACCATCCATTCCCCTCAGCTTTCCAGCAACTATATTTCCAGTTGATTCTTCTAGTGTGAGCCATCCAGTTTTGCCCAAATATTGCATGAACATATTTCAACACTAGTTCTGTCCAAGTAGAGTGAGGTGCTCAATATGCTAGCCATGTTCCTTCAAAGAGCAGATGACAATGAGCTTAGGAGTTTGTCTGCAGTTTTACAAGTCTCATGTTGCTGGTCCCTCCAAAAATGAGGATAAATAATCATTTGTATAAGAAGACCCTGGATCATATCATGTCTGGGATAGAAGAGACTTCTGACCTGGTGTCTCTTTCCACAGGTGTGAGCCATTCACAAGGTGGCGTGATCGGCACGAATCTTGGTTCCACTGTCTTGCGGGGTGTGGAGTGTGTTGCCACCAGCAACAGTGTCCTGTGCTCCCCCTCTGCCGTGGGGTCCTGCTCCAGTGCAAGGTCTTTGCGGTTTGCCTAGATGACAGACAGGACTCTGGACCCTTGGATCTGCTGGGGGCCGTGGAGGGGTGGGCAGGGGAAAGATTTCTCTTGTGGCCCAAAAGCTAGTTTATTCATTCATCATAGAAGTAACTCCAGTTTCCTTTTTCCTGGAGTTATGATTTACTCTTTGAGTGTAATCCCTAAGTTTGGCAGGGAGCTAGGTAGAGAGGTATGTGCAGCATGGGGAGCATCTTTGGGGGTTTGCTCTTGGATGAGAGGAGTTCTTGGTGCTGCCTCAGCATTGAGGGGACAACAGACAGTAGGGCTAGGGAAGCATTTTGCTTGATCTGAGAGACTGGATATTCCTGAAGTTCCCCAGCTATTTTATATGGCAGAAAGGAAAGATTGGTTGAGGTTAATCATATGAGTCCATTCTATTGGTTGCTTGGAATTGTATAGAATTCTCATGATTCCCACAGGGTTCCTCCTTCTTTCTTTTGTTGTATTTGGTTGAACATTGATGGTAAAAGGCTTTTTCCTCCTGAGTACCTTTATTACTTTCCTCACTCACTCAGAGTCCTGCTTGTCTGGTGCTTGTCAGAGTGTGTCCCATGGATGGCCACGTCCATCTGGATCCCTCAGGGCACACTTGTTAAATGTGTGGATTCTGGGCTCCATCTAGAACATTAATCAACAGCTCTAGGGATGAGCCCAGGAATATGCATTTTAGCAGGCATCTGGGAAACTGCTATATAAGCCAAGGTGTGAGGACCACAGGTTCTGGTGGGTAGAGGGAAGAGGGAAGAGGAGGGTCAAATAATTTGGTAACAGAGGTGACTTTCACCTTCTTCTGGTGGGTAGAGGGAAGAGGGAAGAGGAGGGTCAAATAATTTGGTAACAGAGGTGACTTTCTCTCTGATTCTCACAGGATCAGAGTAGTTAGCCCTTTGGCATCCTTCCTTTGATTCTTCTGAAAAGTCAGGGCCATAGCCTGGTTTCCACACATGCTAGTGTGGGGTGTGGCAAAGGCCAGAAAGAGGAGGAAAAGGGAGCCTGCATTCATTAAGTACCTGCTAAGTGTTGAGCATATAATATACATACTTCATTCATTTTTCAAAGCACCAGCATTATCATCCCTTCTTACAGATAAGAAAATTAAGGCTAAAAGATGTGACTTTACTAAGGTCACACAGCTGGTCTCAGATCCAAACTCAGGTCCAGGTATGCCCATGTTCACATACCTCTACCCTACGTTCCCTGATTGCTCCTTCAAGCTCAGTGCTCTGCTCAGCAGATGCTCCTGGATGAGGCATTCTACCCAGCCCTACTCTACTAGTTTTCAACAATTCAGAAATAAGAGATGGGAGGTGATATAGCGACCTCCTGGGAACATTTGTAGAAATATTTCTCCGTGGTCCGTGCTCTCCACAAATCTTGCACAGATCATATGATTGGGTGGTTCGGACAGGCCTTTTCTGTAAGGACCCAGACCTCTGATTGGAGGCCATTTTCCTGGTGGCCTGGACGGAGACAGTGGCTAGGTGAAGTCTACATCTAGCCCATTCCTGACTGACAATCCTTGGGAAGTTCCACCTGGGAGGCGGCTCAGAGTCTCCTTTGGGGCTGGGTGTCCACCCTAGATGTGATAAGATGGAGAAAGGGATTTTCTTTCTCTTCTTGGTTCAGAAGAACTCTACTTCTCCCACCTTATTTTATTTAGAACATTTTAGAAATAAAATAAAATAAAAAGACTTGGCTGGGTATAAGAAGATCTTGCCATAAGAATATATATTTGATTTCAAAACAGAGAGAAGCCTTCGAACAGTTCTCCCTGACAAAATGCAGTCCTTCTGACACCTTCAGATTGAATCCTCAGGAGCCTCATTGGTCAGGATACTGGTTATAGGGAAGTTCGTGTTTTCCCTTGAAGATTCAAATTAAGTCTGCCTAGATGAACTGACAATACAAATTTACAGGAGAAAAAGCATAAAATGTATTAATGTGCAAATGTGCATACACAAGGCATGAGACCCAAAGAAATGACCAGGTGGCTAATAGCATTTTAAGATACAGAAAGACAAAGGGGCTTGAGGGAAGTGGCAACAAATTATAGGAAGGTTAAGGGAAGAAATATACTTCAAACAAGTTGTCTTCCTATGCAGACAAAAGCAGTAATCTTTCAGAGTGGTTTTCAGAAGAAGAGATGAAAAGTCTGTTTGGGTGTTCGTGACCTTTAATTTTCTTCCTCCTCCTCCTGATCTTCCTCTTCTTCCCCTCCCTGTCCCCTTCTCCCCCTCTTCCCCTCCCCTACCCCCTCCTCCTTCTCTTTCTCCTTCTCCTTCTTCTCTAGTAGTAGGCAGGTGCTGTGCTGCAGAACTAAGTCCTCGGCCCTTTGTTCTTCCTCCTCCCTCTCCTCCTCC